ATCTGAAATTACTTGATAAGCCAACTTTAGCTTTTTGTAGATAGAAAGTTCTTCCATATGATTTATAATGTTCTGCCAAGGCCTCCGGTTTCCTTAAAAATTTTTGAGTTTGAAAAAACCGTACGAACTTATTTGTTGAATTAATTATACCATATATCACTAATGAAAGAATGACCATCGATGAGTCCGTTTGGAAACGCATATGCATTGAGGTGTTAGCGCCACATCGCAAACTCGTACAATTTTAAGAGTTCATCTTCAAGTGCCTCCGGGAGTATCAGAGAGTAAAAGTGTTTGTTGCTCACTTAGTCAAAGCCTCAACGTAAACTTCCATTGTCGGTGTTGTAGCTATGATATTTGGCACTTCCATCTCAATTAGTGCATTAACTGCTTGGCTGGAGTATGCAGCCACTGGCAACTCAGCAACAGAAAGCATCGTTGCTACCGATGTGGAGGAAATGTAGTCTTTCGGTGATATTAAGCCTGAAAAAGCCTAGGTTTAGGGCTGATTGATAAAAATTCACAGCAAAATCTTTACCACTTGCAAAAATGGGAATTGCTCGATGGAAGATTTGCTCAAATGGTAATTAAGAGATAGAGTTAAAAAAATACAGTTTTACACATGGCCTTTGATTAAAGTATTCCCAAGTACATCATTTTTTCCTTCGTGAGAAATTCAATTTATTTGAAACTTTAATTTTTAGTAAAATATAACATTCTTTTTGAATTTTTTTCAATGTTCTCTTGTTTATTTTGAACATTTGGAAAAAAAATGCTTCTAACGTCCACATATTAGTGCATACATATGAGAAACTTAGCTGTTTTGCTGGTGGTAAAAAAAATGTGACATAATCATAAGAAGTTGTAAAGAATAAAAAGACTGGGACTCAAATAAGCTAGAAAATTTAAATAAATCTATCCAACTTTTCCATTTACACATCTTTCTTCATACTATCACAGTAGCTAAATGGCTCCATAATGGTAATAACGAGCAAGTCGTTAATAGCCATAATAGCAACCTATGGAAAAGTTTTTGTTTACAACGTTTACGCTTACCTACATAGGTTACCATCAAGTTTATGATATGCATCCTTAATCGACATTTAGCAAACACATAAAAATAGAGACGGGGCTGTTTAAAATTTGCGGGGTAAACCTAGGTAACTTTACGAGACATTAAATTCAATGAGATCTGTGTTATTCTACGCAAACTTGATAATTGATAAACATAATGCACTAACTACATGTTATGAGTGTTTTTCCTCGTTTTTCCTATCTTTTTCAAGTTGCTAACCTAAAAGTTTTGCTCCTGCATTTTCAGTTCGACATTCTTTCGGCTCATGATATCCCACCGAATCGAGGAATCTTAGCGATTGCGAGAGCGCTTCCTGTGCTCGTGAGCATGTGTCTCCAGCGTAAAGACCTAAAGGAAAATTTTTTCCAACATTCTGATATTGTTTGCTCTAAGTTCCCCCAAACTTGCCTAGCTTGGCGTTATGATTTGCCGGATTCTGGTTCCAGTGTGTAAGTGCCCACTGGATAGCA